TGGAAAGAGATGGAAGCCCAGCTGAATGACGAAGTCAAGAAGTTTCAAGACTTGTTTGAGAAGGAAGCTGAAGGGACCTATACTAACATTATGAAGCATGTTCGCCTCTTCAACCCGTCATTTAGGTTGGACAACGTCCATTATCTTTACTATGTTAAGAATAGTCAGTTAATGACTTTAAATGACAAAGATGAAGAGGTTATGGTAGACCTAATTAGCGCAATGGATAAAGAGACCATCGCGCCATCCGTTTAAGAGCCAACCCCTCAAGGGCCAACTACTGAGGGTGAGGATCGCGCAGAAATGAATGAGGGTCCTCAGGACATGTCTATTCAGACAATTTGATTTTCATTGATGTTCTTTTTTTGGATTTTGGTTTGTAAGGGGATTGGCCCCAATTTGTATGGAACAATGTTAATTTGTGCAAGCCGCAATGGCTTTAAAATATATCATGTCTTCTTTCAGAAAGATGTTTTATGACTGCATACCATGCATGTATAATTTCATAGAATGGTTGTAGCTCTTCGTACTTTGAGATATACCTTCTTTAAATGAAGAATTATGCTAAAACAAAAATACTTTCAGCGTACCTTACCAAGTTGATTACTTTTGAGGAGTATTACCCTCCTCGTCCTTCTTCTCTTCTTGATGATATTGGGGTTTCTCCCTTGTACTTTGTCATGGAACTTGTGTTCGTGTTTGGAAGTCATTGCTTCCTTTCGTGATTTTCATCGCACTGTAGTTTGGAGGAGGTTTTAACCAGTTAAGGCTTTATCTTCCTTGCGTATTCTTCATCGCGCTGTAGCTTGGAGGAAGTTTTATTATCTTCCTTTTATTTGGAGGGTCCTTTTGGAGGATCCTTTCCTTTTATTTGGAGGATCCTTTCCTTTTATTTGGAGGGTCCTTTTGGAGAATCCTTTTATTTGGAGGAAATTGTATTATTTTCCTTTTATTTGGAGGATCCTTTTGGAGGATCCTTTTTATTGGAGGAAGTTTTATTATATTCCTTTCATTTGGAGGATCCTTTTGGAGGATCCTTTTAATTGAAAGAAGTTTTATTATCTTCCTTTTATTTGGAGGATCCTTCCCGCAGACGACGCCAATGATCAGACCAAATATAATATGGACTGGCCAAAGTATATCGGACCTAATCACACACGATTACTGTGGTGAGGATGTTCTTCGTCTTGGACTTGGAGTTGTTGATGATGATCTGTATGTTTGTTGGCGCGATGAGACTGGATGGGGGGGTACCTGCGAAGACACTCCAATGCTTAAGTCAGTATCAGAGGCAGGTGTAAGTATATTCTTAATGAATTAGATAGATGTACCGGGGTGTGTACCATCTGCTTATATAGTGGTTCTGATGCCACCTTCATAAGGCGGTTCGGCCTCTGATTGGCCATGTTTGGACTGCAGGTTAGGCTAGAACCTGAATAGCCTTATCTTCTTAATGTTGAGCTATCCTAATAGAGTTGCGACGAGCTGGTGCTGTCCTTTGTTTATTAGCTCAAAGGCGTGGTGAGTTTGCCTTGGTTCTTAAGTTAGCTTTCTTATCTCTGGAGCTTATGCCAAAGGGAGATTTTATGCGCGATGGGGGCATCGCGTCATGTCATGCGCGCGATGATGGCCATCGCGCTTAGTTCCGGGCCCTTCATGAGATTGGACTTCTTTATATGTCTTTGGGCCTCTAATGGGCCTACTATATTTTATCTAGATCAGAGGGTATTATCAAGTATGGGTAAACCATATAAAACAATAATGTGCTATTTTAAACACATTTTCAAGTAGTTTCATATAAAGCAAATGTCTCAAAGTGATTTAAGGAAGTAGCAATTAAGCTTTGCTTTTATAACCCTCCTTCACATTGCAGTGCTTCCACAAAGATATGCATATCTAATTTGTAACTATATATCTAATAGTAAGCATCAGAATATTCAACCAATGTAAAAGCTCTATCCATTGGATAGAACCGACCAAGATCAACAGAACCTAAAGATGACGAAAATATGTTCAACGTAATTCTAATGTCTTCGAGAAGGGGCAACACTGTATCTAGCTAGATGATATACTGCAATTGCAATATCAAGCCTATTTCAACTTGCAGGGTATAATAGTGCTCCTATAGCATTTAAGATAAGGAACTTCAAGTCATAATCCTCTATTGTTAGCTTATTTAGTTCTAAATGGATCTTTATTCACTTCTAGTGAAAGGACCAACGGGCACTTATATATTTACATTGGTGCAATAAAATATCCTTTTTTGAAGATGCTCAATCTATAGACTGGGAGAATAATATGTTTGAGACCATACAATGATCTTTGCAGCTTAATGTTAAGCATGTTGCGCTTTTTATTCTTTCCCGTATGGGATATGGGGAATCCTTTAGGAATTTCATATAAATATCTTGATTAAGTGACCTTACAATCATGACATCCATTAAATGCATCTTAAGATGCATCTTAGTGCCACACATATAAAGTAATGAAACTTAACAAAATCAATTATACGAGAATAAGAAACATAACAATTGATGTCGAGTCTCTCCAGAAACCCTTGTTCTTCCTTAATTGCCTCCTTCCATTCATTTCAAGTTTGAATGCTTCTAGCATTCTTGAAAGGTTTTGGGTTATGGATCCAGATTATCTCTTCAGACAAGAAGAGCTACTGATAAGACAAATGAGACATCTATGATAGTTTGTAACTACACTCATTTCAATAGGTTTGCTTTTTTCAGGATTAACCTATTTAGGAGGCGTGATGAGTTTGTAACTACACTCATAACACAAATGAGTCATCTATGATAGTTTGTAACTACACTCATTTCAATAGGTTTGCTTTTTTCAAGATTAACCTATTTAGGAGGCGCGATGAGTGACTTATTTTCTTTTTCTACAGATTTATGTCTTTAGTCCCTACAAGGCATTCACGCTTCTGATGTTGACTGGACTCAAACATATTTTATCCCATTGGAATCTCCACTATAGGTGGTGAATTTTTGTAAGAATATAAGACTTAGTCACTCTTTTGTGATCAGTAAAAACATGGCATTTGACTTGCTAAAGTTTACAAGTTAATGATATTTTGAACTTCAAGTTCAATTATACTTGTATAAAGACCAAAATAATTTATTCTTTATTTTTTCAGAAAAATTTCTTAGGATTCATTAAACTTTTAGATTTCTCCCCCTAATGTCTGGCAATGTCCCTCACTAAATATTTAATCAGCAAATCGTGTATTAAACAAATCACCCATTAAGGGCTCCAAGTACTTGATTCTATATGGAATCTCAAAAAACACATGCAAATGCTCAATGTAACACCTCGTGTGTGCCCGATGTATTAGCATTAATTATGGCATTAAGTGCATCTAGAATATTTATTAAATTATAGTGAAATTGCGAATAATTTTTTTTCTTTTCAAAATATTTCCATTTCATGCTCATTAGCATACAATTACTTCAACATATTTTGTCAAATGCCATTGCCACTTCAAGAGCATAAACAAAGATTAAAATAGATAATTGGTAGAAGAAGAATTAGTTAAAAATTGATAAAATAAATAAATAAACAAATGAATAGTCACCTTGTAGATAAAAATTACGGCTTTGAGTGGAAATATTTCAACCCTAGTTGGAAGGGACTATCATACTAATAACATTTTGTAATATTAAAATAAAATATAAAATGAAGGGAGAAAATATAGATAAGAACACGTGAAATCTTGAAAAGCATGAGAATATCACAAGTTCTTCTTATTCACTTTTCATAAAATATATGCCTTATATAGGCTCCAAAAATAAAAAGGGAGAATGATTATACATCATTGTGCTATTATGCATGATGGTTACATTTCATATCAAAAGTCACAAGTAAACAAAAAGCCATAACATAAACCTCAGAATAGTCATCCACTTTTAAAGTTCATGTTTTACATCACCTTTTTCTTTTATCTAATTTTTCTTAAAAAGGGTGGTTTTCTAATTTAAAATCTTGTCTTTTGTCTTCTCTGTTCGAGTTGATTTAGTAGCATCCTTAAGTTATACATTGCCGACTCCAATTCCCAGTCTGCGATGTAAACTGACTTTTATCCACAAATGAGACGTTTTAACAAAATCATGCTTAAGCATGCTTGAAGACAAATTGCCAACGTTTTGAAAATTAAATCTAGAACAAGAAAGAACAATGGTTAAAGATAGTGTCGTAAGAACGGATTGGATGTCATGTTTCTACAGATTTGAACACGAATGTCGTGATGGTCATGGCTCAGCATATTTAAACAGCTAAGCACACACCTCACTCTCAGTAATATATCCCGCACGAGTAATAATAAAGAGAAAAACTACTCTTACGTAACATGTGATAAGTTTCTCTCCTACACACTCTTCGATAACTGTGCCATCTTTTTCTTTTCTTTTCTTTTTATTTTTCAGGTGATGGAACTCACGAGTTTATCTCTATGACATGAAATAACTTATCTCCTTTGACATGAGATTAATAAAACCCAATAATAACTACCAACAAGTACAATGTAAAATGCTTTTGTTTATAGAACATGGGGGAGGTAATATTGATCACAAATCTGTCGTGTCTATTTTCATATTATACTATGCAAGGATTTTGTTTTTGTTTTTTTAAGATAACCAACCAATGTCCGAAGCATTAATGAACTCAACTAATTCGATTTCGAATCTGAACCACTCCCCGCTCTCTATAGAAGTTGCGAGTCCTAAGAATCAGACCTACTATCCTTTGAGCAGGTCAAATCTTGAGATTTAACTGCATCGCCACTAAACCAACAAATTTTTAATATATCCTGTGAGGTTTAGTTTGAACAAAAGCAAGAACAAGATAAATGTTAAATATGTATTTTTTTTATTTAAAAAAACACGAATATTCTATGACTTCAGAGGATTTGCAAAATATTAAACTTGTTTCAATCGTCTAAATTGTTATATTATATACATGCAAGTATACATACAGAACTACGTAGTAGACTAGTAGGACAACGATATCTTCAATATTGTATATGCAAGAACTACCCTTTTGAGTCTGAGAAGTTAGGTAAACCTGGAGCCTTAACGCGATCTTCGATAATAATATCTGTAAAAAATTGAAGATCAGTTATATGAACTGTATCCAAATGAGTATCTGTTCACAAATCTGAAAATGATGTGTGTGCATGGATGGAGAGGGAAAGAGAGCATTACACAAATATATTTATATTGTAAATGGAAGCATATTTTCTTAGAAGCCGTTCTATGGTGTACCACTCAGAACGATCAGATCCATCTTGATAACCAATCCGGGGCATGTGTATTGATGCTTTGCAGAATAATCAAAAGAATTTTGTATCAGTAAGCTTCAATTGTAAACTCGTCATAATAATCATATATAGATTTAATTTTGAAGTACTTATCGACTATCGACAAGAAGTTAGAAATGTCTAAACAATAACCCTCTATTTAAGTATTCATATTCTGGAATATTTTATATGCTTTTCAAAAAAGAAAATGCTCTCCAAATTCACTAAGGAACAGGGGTACAAATGCCCAAAGACAGCCCTTCAACTTAAAGTAGATTGCATGTACACCCTATCAACTGAAAAAAAAAAATGCTATTAAATACAATGTAACCTATGGCAATTGAGTTATCCATACAATTTTCTTAACAATAATGAGAAATATAAAGATTACTACATTTTGATAATTCTGTAGATATAATTTCCTTTCTAGCTTTTCTCTTCTTGTGCTTATATAAATGACATCGTTTTGGGAGTCCCTGTGATAGGACTTGAATATGGAAATACGAAATAATATGTTGTGTATTAAACTGATACAAAGAAATACAATATATAGAGACCCTAATGGGCTTAAGTGAAAAGCCCAAACCTAACCCAAATCCTAAATAAGGAAAAAAATATTTACAAATAGGAATGCAATATATACAAACATATACTGTTAAGATATATAGTCCCACATTGGTTGTATGTGCAACTAATGTGCAGTTTATAAGGTCTTGAGCACTCCCACCCTTTGAGCTAGCTTTTGGGGTGGTGACCTCAAGGTTCTTTACATGGTATCAGAGCCTCGCCGTCCCCCACTTTCTCTTGTGGAATTTCTTAGCACAGGTAGGCTGGGCCTGTTGCTTTGTCCACTCTTCAAGCCCAATGGGCTCTTGTGTGAGGGGGCGTGTTGAGATATATAGTCTCACATTGGTTGTATGTGCAACTAATGTGGAGTTTATAAGGCCTTGGGCACTCCCACCCTTTGAGCTAGCTTTTGGGGTGGTGTATCCCAAGGTTCTTTACATATACATATTATATTTCCTGTTCTAACACCCCCCCTTCCCCCAAGCTGGTGGGTATATATTGTGAGCACCGAGCTTGTTACAAATGTATTCAACCTGAGGACCTCTAAGAGCTTTAGTGAAGACATCCGCGAATTGATCATTGGAGTTGACGAAACTTGTTTTGGTTTCTCCTAACTGAATCTTTTCTCGAATGAAGTGACAATCAATCTCTATATGTTTGGTTCTCTCATGAAATACATGATTAGATGATATATGTAGTGCAGCTTGATTGTCACAAATGAGTGTCATGGGTTGTTTCTGTTCACAAATATGAAGCTCTTGAATAAACTGCTTTAACCAGATTAGCTCACAGATAGCAATTGTCATTGCACGATACTCAGCTTCTGCACTAGATCGAGCAACAACAGGTTGTTTCTTGCTCTTCCAAGAAATTAAGTTTCCTTCAAAGAAGACACAATAGCCTGAAGTAGAGCGCCTGTCTGAGGGTGATCCTGCCCAATCAGCATCTAATAACCACAAATTTTTGTATTTCCTGATCTGAATATAACAAGTCTTTCCCCAGTGCTCCTTTGATGTACCGAAGGATCCTCACAGCAACATCCCAATGAAAATCACAAGGGGAGTCAAAGAACTAACTAGCCGTACTAATAGCAAAAGAAATGTCCGGCCTAGTCACAGTAAGATAATTGAGCTTCCCAATCAACCTCTGATTACGACCAGGATCGGACAACGGCTCCCCCTGTCCGGGCAATAATTTGATAATAGGATCCATGGGTTTATCAACTAATTTACATCCCAACATACCAGTCTCTTCGAGGATATCTAAGGCATACTTCCTTTGACAAATAGAAATGCCTTGTCTAGACTGTGCCACCTCAATCCCTAAGAAGTAACGAAGCTTACTAAGGTCCTTTGTTTGAAATTGACTGAACAAATATTGTTTCAACTGACGAATTCCAGTGAGAATGATGTCATCGAAATAGACTAACAAATAGATGCACTTGTCAGGAGATGTGAACCTATAAAATACAAAATAGTCAACTTTGCTGCGGATTAAGCCAAAAGCCTGAACAGCAGAACTGAAACGACCGAACCATGCCCGAGGAGACAGCTTGAGACCATATAAGGATTTACGAAGTTGGCAAACCTTCCCAGACTCCCCCTGAGCAACAATGTCAGGTGGTTACTCCATGTAAACTTCTTATAAATCACCGTGAAGAAAAGCATTTTTAATGTCAAGTTGAAGGAGTGGCCAATGACGAACGGCAGCAAAAGTAAGAAACATGTGAACGGACGCCATCTTAGCAACCGGAGAGAATGTGTCACTATAGTCAAGGCCGGAGATTTGAGTAAAACCCTTAGCAACTAAGCGCACCTTGAGACGATCAACATGGCATCAGGTCCAACTTTGACAGTAAAGACCCAGCGACAACCAACAATAGACTTTTCTGGAGGAGCAGGAACATGATCCCAAGTGCTATTGGAATGAAGTGCAGTCATCTCATCAAGCATCGCATGGCGCCACCCTGCATGGGAAAGTGCTTCACCTGTGGTCTTAGGAATAAAAACAGAAGACTAGAAACAAAGGTGAAATGAAGAGTAGAAAGACCTTCATAGCTCAAAAAAGTATAAAAAGGATAAGGGTTATGAATAGTACGTATATCTTTTCTTTGAGAAATGAGAAGAGCCTCTGGTGAAAGAGCCGGAGGGGAAGAATCAACAAGAGAGGGCGATGAGTCAGCAGGAGGCACAATTTTACGATGCTGATAGGTGAGAAAAGGACGATCCTCAGGTATGGAAGCAATAGATCGCTCATATGGGATAAAGTCTCCTGCAGCTAGTAAAGACAAGACAAGAAAAGGAACAGGAAGAACATGATCAACCTGTGACAACTGAGATGGGATAGAATGAAAGGGTTGTTGATCAAGAAAAGTGACATCAGCGGAAACAAAATAACGCTTAAGATCTGGAGAATAACAACAATAACCCTTTTAAAGAGGAGAATAACCAAGAAAAATACACTTAAAGGCTTTGTGTAACAACACTCCTCATAATGACCAAGTTGTTGACTATAATGATAATGAGGTCACTGACCACGTCCTCCCTGGCCCTTACCACGACCACGATCACTGTTCCTGCGAAAGTTAGTACAATAAACAAGAGCAGTGGAAACAACAGAAGATGATGCAGGAGCATATTTCTTATTGAGGTTCAGAAGGTGCTAATAAGTCAGTGATAAATCAGGATCCCCACTAGTCAATATAGTATCACGGACATTATCATATTCTTCGGGAAGACCAAAAAGTGTGGCAACCATAAACAGACGCTCCACTTGTTTCCTATATGCAGAAGCATCAGTAGGATAGAGCAACATATCTAAATATGCCTGCATCAAAGATCGACTTTTACCAACATACGTCTCCATCTGAGTGTCAGATGATTTGCGCAAATCCATAAATTGAGACATGATAGAATAGAGCTACTGAACATCATTAGTGTAGAGGTGTTTTGCTTCTTCCCACACTTCATTGCATGTTTGAGAAGAATAGAAAATATCCAAAGGGATTGGATTAATAGACTGCCAAAGAATACTCAAAAGCTGGTTGTCAATCCGTTCCCAATCAGATTTTTCTTCCGTAGAAATATCAATAGATTTAACTGTGAGATGTTGTCCATGCCCCTGTCCAGAGAACCAAACTCGAACAGAGGTGACCTAATTCTTGTAATTAACAGAACCCTTCAGTTTGGAGGAGGTAATGGGCCCAACATTGGTGGAGATGATACTTGAGGAACTTTTGGCAGGAGGAGGAGGGGAATTGACCTCCGAGTGAACAGGAGAAGCTTCACCCATTAAAATAAATCACAAAGGTACAAAACCATGTTAATAGAAACTAACCTGATGGCCAATCAAGAAGAGACACACACAGAAAGTGAGACCCACGAAGAACTAATAGCAGATCTGGAAAGGGGAGGAGAAGGCGAGTTGTTCTGTCCTGGAATAGCCGAAAAAGGACGCCGGAACAGTGCACACGCGCCGGTGAGAGGTGGCACGTGTGAGCTTCGACGATGGTGGGTCTTCCACAGAACAGGTCGCCGGAGAGAGGAGGTTCTGATCACAGGTGTCTTGGTTGAAATCGTCGCCGGAAAAGTTCTCCGGTGACCGGAACAGTGACGAATGGCAATTCCAGCGAAGAACGGAGGTGCTGGCTAGTATAGAAAGCAATCTGAAGGGGCACACGACTTAGATGACTTGCCGGAAGGACAAACGGCAAAGAAAAAGAGAACACCTAAGCTGGCTTAGGTTTTAAAGCGAAAAAGAGGTCTTAAGCGAAAGCGAGGGTCCCCTAACAAAAGAGCTCTGGTACCAACTTGAATATGGAAATATGAAAAATATGTTGTGTATTAAACTGATACAAAGAGATACAATATATAGAGACCCTAATGGGCTTAAGTGAGAAGTTCAAACTTAACCCAAATCCTAAATAAGGAAAAGAATATTTACAAATAAGAATGCAATCTATACAAATCTATAGATATTATATTTTCTATTCTAACAATAGGAATAACATGAAACCCTTGATATTATACATGGTAGTAATGCAGGATCAAGGTGTCGCAGGGAGAAAACAATTTTGTAGTAAGATGCATATGATGGGTCAATTTTCTTTTGCTGCAGTATGCTTTAAATAACCATCTATAAATGGTCATGGCTACACATGTGAACAATCGACAGCTATGCATCTAAGCAAGAAGCAAAGAGAAGAGAAAAATGATAAATTAACAAAGGAAATGGAAAATCAAGGTAATAATAGAACATCGAATTAAATAAATGTGGAGGCATGTTACCAGAATTTTGTGCGGCTGAGAATGCTGCCTTTGATAAGCAGCTTTCCAAGTGGAGAAGTGAGATTTCACTGCGAGGGACTTTACGCCTTGGATTGTAAGACTGAACCACAGCTAAAGCAACTATTTTGGGAGCACTACCATCCATATTTTGTTCATCACAGCCATCTAACAATTAACAAGGCACAATAAAGAGGCATGAACCATATACAGATATTCAAAAGATGTCAGAGATTGAACACATGACTTTAGGTGCTTATATACATGCAAAACTTAGTGTGGATTAGCTTATTTAGTATTAAAAAACAGCTTACCATAGAAATCTTTTAGAGAGAGCTTAAAAAAAAAAAAAAATCTTCCTCCCATAATAATGACAACCAAGCATACCACTAATCCAAGAACACTAAATGTGGTAACTGGCAAATGTAGCATTTTTTGTTTTAATAACAAACATGCGCCACATAATTCATAATGTAATTTGCAGCAACAGAAATATGCTCCATTCCCACCTTTCAGAGGATACCCATCAATGAAAGATAGAAGACAGACAGATTACACATTCACGGAAGTTCAGCCGCCAGCATTAACTATTTCTTAGGTCAATTGTTCATTACAATCACCTCAACTACTTTACTAGAACTACCAAAACAAAGTATGGTAACGGATAGAATAAGAATGGTCAATGGTAATAAAATCCCCAAGAAGAAATAGCAGATGTGGTTGATAGTGTGGTGGTGACATCGAAAGAGACTGCGTTATAAAAATTGAGATGATTTCTGCTTTAAAACTGCAAGGAATTAAGATTGCATGCTTGAGGGTCAGGATAGTATTTTTGTATGTTCGCATGCATGAAGCATCTTGCAGGTATGTGCTTCTATACAGACCTAACAAATTAGCTTGTATTAGTGCTCACCTTCAAGCTTTATAAGATGGAGATCACCAAGATGCAGGTCCCCATGCTCAGAAGCCCGTTCATATGCAACGCCAATGCTCGTAGAAAGTTTGGTCAGTGCATCAAACATTCCACCATGGCCCCAATGTCCAGAGGTGTCAACACAACTGTAAAACCATTATATATTCATAGGTGCATGTAATCAGGGTATCGATTATTATACCACAGTCCAAGGAAGAAAAGTAAACCTGTCACTAAGAAAGAAGAATCAATACAATACAGTATTTTAACATATTAAAGTAAGAGTAAATACTCTTTTTAGTCCTCAGCAAATTTCACGATGGCCGCTTTAGTCCCTAGCAAATAAAAAGGCTATTCGTGGTCCATAAGAAATTCAAAATGGACCAATTTAGTTGAAATCGTGGTCCCTCACAAATTCAAAAAAAAAACTCAGATTAGTCCCTCAAAAGGACTAAAATGGGTCCACTTTGAATTTCTTAGGGACCACGAATAGCCTTTTTATTTGCTAGGAACTAAAGCGAGCATCGTAAAATTTGCTGAGGACCGAAAAAGATATTTACTCTTAAAGTAAAGAAAAACACACAAATATACCAAATATACATAATGCTTCCAAAAGCCTTCTTATGATTGGGAAAAGTCAGGAAGATCAAACAATTAAAGAATCGATAGGTTCACCATCAGATGTTTAAATATCATGCAACAGAGAATGCTACTGCATGGAATAAAGCTGCAACTGAATATTCATTTCATCAATGTAGTTATTAAAATCTTCGTGCATCAAAGCAAAAGCTGCAGTGAGGCAAATAAAAAAGTTTACCAGAATATTATAGCAGGTTCAGATGAACAAACGTTTGATGGAGCTGTACAATCTCCATATACAAAATGAACAGAACCGGTAGCTGATATAATATCACCATCTGGTGGACTGATAGGGTCTTTCACATTGAGTGAATGGTATCCTAGAGCTTTCCACTTAGACAGCTTATTTTCCTCTGCCTTCTTCTTTGCAGACTCAAGTTTGTGAGACTCTTCCTCATCTGAGTTCCTTCTTCTCCTCAAGTTCATGTTTGAGTCACAACTTGATTTAGACAGTTTCTCAAATTTTTTAATCCAAGAAAGATATGAAGCCTCATCAAGACCAAGATCACAGGAGAGAGAAGCAAAACCTCCTTCCTTAACATCATTTCCTTTTACAAAGTCTCTTGGATTGACCTCAAATTTCCTGTCATCCTTGTCAAATATTTGTTCATCACGCATAGCAATCACCTTGTCAGCCATAGCATTAATTTCTGGTAATTCCATGTCCCCGTGTTTTCCATCATTAATATCACTGGGATCAAACATATGTAACCCAAATATGATGGATTTCAAATCACTAGTTCCAACTCCAGATGTTTCTTTATCATGATGTTCCAGAATATTATCACCTATAACATTGAGGCTTAGCCGCAATTTTCTCTCTGCCCTCCGCATTATTACCTACAGGGTAACATGTGAGTTGCTAGAGTATATGTAAAAAGGTTTGATTTTCTCATGTTGCTTGAGAATTGAATTCTCATGTTCTGACTCAACTAGTGGTGGGCCCACATTTATTAAAAAATGAAAAAGAAAAAAAAAGTTTTGCAAACAAATCGAAGGGTCACAACATGAGAATTGAATTCTCATGCAACATGAGAAAATGTTTTTCCATATGTAAATGGCCTCCATTGTCAAAGAATAAAAAATACAACAGACACATACTTCCTCCACTGTACGTTCTGTAACGAGGTTTATACACAAAACATGGTTCATCTGGCCAATTCTATGTGCTCTCTGCAAAGCTTGCTTGTCCACCTGAGGGTTCCAATCTTGCTCGTAGAATATAACCTAGAGAAAGTCATGGAACAGTAAATTCTCAAATTATGTTTTATAGTTACAACGCTTGAATCAACCTGTTAAAGAAATAGAAATCCCATGGATTTTATGCTTGACTTGAAAAGTTAATTCTCATTCTCCCTGAATTAATTCTGGGAGGTTACTCCAAACATGCAGTTATCAGAGAATAAACCTGATTAGATGAAATTGATTCGAACAGTCCACACATGATCTCTATATATAGTAGTGTTAGTATTAAACATGTTAGAGATATATAAAATCATTAATGAAGCTTCACCATACAACTTAAACTTTTAGGTTGAATTGGTTCTTTACATAGTATCAGAGCCTCAGTGACTAAGTGGTCACGAGTTCGATCCTCACCGCCCCACTTTCTCTTGTGGAATTTCTTAACACAGGTAGTTGCGCTTGTACATTATTCACTCTTCAAGCTTAGTGGACTCTTGTATGAAGACGTGTTAGAGATATATAAAATCATTAATGTAGCCTCACCTAACAGCTTAAGTTTTGGGTTGAATTGGTTCTTTACAAAATGTTGTAAATAATAATATTTATTTATTTATTTGTTGTATTGGGCTTAGCCCAAGCCCATTAGGTCATATAATCTCTTTAAATAGAGAACCATTTGTACAGTTTACATACAATTCAATAATATATTTCATTACCCTTTTTCAAGTTGGTATCAGAGCTCTCGATTCTGAGGGCTATGCTTCCGCAAATCACCGTCTTTAAAAACCAAACCTTATTTGCCTCTCGCCGCCACAAAGCCGCCGTCGGAAAAAATTTTCCGGGGACCTTTTGAACCGTGAAGACCCCTGTTTCACTCTGTTTTCTTAGATCTATCATTCTACGGAGGTTTCTTATTCATCAGACGACCGAAACAGCTCAAAAAAAATGCGGTACTGTTCACCAAAAAAAAAAAAAAAAAAACTTTTCCTGCTTGGTTTTGTCTCTGATCTGACGTCGTTTGGGTGTACGTTGTGTGTTTTTGGTGCTGTTTTTTCACTCTTTCTTATCACTATGGCCGATTTAGAAGATGGTTTGATTATTACGCAGTCTCCACATGTCTCTCCATATGTGAATATTCAGCAAAGGGAGTTGGATCAGCTTAAACCCGCTATTGATAATATGTGTAAGCCATCTGACCGTTCTTTGATCTTGTCTGGTAAGAACACACGTTCTATATCTCTTCTTGCTTCTTGCACTGATTTTAAAACCTCATGGATTTTGGATTCTAGTGCAACTGATCATATGACTTGTCGTACTGAGTTTTTTCTTTCTTATCATCCTATTGTTGGTAGTCATATTATATCCGTAGCTGATAGAACCCATAAATCAGTTATTGGTTCTGGTAACATTCAAATTCAACCTTTCTTGTTTCTTAAAAATGTTCTTTATGTTCCTCAGCTTTCTACTAATCTTATCTCCACTCAAAAGCACTATAAAAAATGTTCTTTATGTTCCTCAGTTTGTGAACTTGCAAAACACCATCGAGTGTCATTTCCTTCTAGCACTATCAAAAGCAGCGAACCTTTTTCTCTTATCCATTCTGATGTTTGGGGCCCTTCTAATGTGCATAGTGTTTCAGGTGCAAGGTGGTTTGTTTCTTTTATTGACGATTGTACTCGGGTAACATGGATATTCTTGATGAAAGACAAGTCTGAAGTACCAGAGATATTTATTCGATTTCATCACATGGTTGAGACTCAGTTTGGTAAGTGTATTAAAAGACTAAGATCTGATAATGGTACTGAGTACGTCAACCAACGCCTGTCGCAATTCATTTCAGACAGAGGTATGATTCATGAGCTCACATGTGATGATACCCCTCAACAAAACGGAGTTGCTGAAAGAAAAAATCGTCACCTCCTTGAAGTTGCTAGAGCACTATTTTTCCAGACATTTGTTCCTAGTTTTTATTGGGGAGAAGTCGTGTTAGCTGCAGCCTTTTTGATCAACCGCTTACCTTCACGGGTCCTTAACAATACCCGTCCTATTCATTCCATGACTTCCTTCTTTCCTTCTGTTTCCATTTTGCAGAGCCTTCCACCAAGAGTGTTTGGATGTGTTGCCTTTGTCCATGTTCATAAACAACATCGCAGTAAGTTGGATCCTAGGGCTCTTAAGTGTGTCTTCCTTGGTTATGCCCCTGATAAAAAAGGGTACAAGTGTTATCATCCACCAAGTTGAAATTTTTTTATTTCTATGGATGTCACATTTCAAGAATCTGAGTCTTATTTCCTGGGTCTTCGTCTTCAGGGGGAGAACAGTTCTTCAGAAGACTCATCCCCTTCCTTCTTTGAGTTTGGATCGTCCTTGTCTACTCCTACATCTCTTCCTAGAGTGTCTGCTCCTGGTGTGTCAGAACCTTCAAATACACCTGAGATACGAAAGATTTTGACACCTGAATTGGTATATCAGAGGAGGAAACAACCCATACTGTCTCACCAGCAACCTCAATCTTCTAAACCACTGGTAACTCCTGAATCTCCTGTTTTTGATTTTAATATTATTGCCTCTCATGATTTGCCTATTTCTTCTGATACCTCTGATGACTTACCCATTGCTTCTACTTCTGATGACTTACCTATTGCCCTAAGAAAAGGGAAAAGATCTTGTACTCAATACCCTATCTCCCATTTTGTTTCTTCTACTAATCTTTCTGTGCAGCACAAAAGCTTTGTTTCAGCACTAGATTTTATTTCAATCCCAAAATCAGTACATGAAGCATTGAAAGATGAGAATTGGGCTCAAGCCATGCAAGAGGAGATGAATGCGTTGGAGAAAAATAAAACATGGGAGGTTATTGATAGACCCAATGGAAAGAAAGCAGTAGGATGCAGATGGGTTTATGCCCTAAAATATAATTCTGATGCCACTCTTGAAAGATATGAGGCTCGGTTAGTCGCCAAGGGTTACACTCAGACCTATGGCATTGATTATGAAGAAACCTTTGCTCCAGTTGCAAAGATGAATACGGTGAGAGTATGTTATCCCTTGCTGCCCATTACAATTGGGATATAAATCAATTTGATGTGAAGAATGCTTTCCTTAATAGTGAGTTAGAAGAAGAAGTCTACTTGAAAATCCCGCTTGGTTTTGATTCTGTGGACGGAGAAAATAAAGTTTATAAATTAAGAAAAGCCTTGTATGGATTGAAGCAGTCACCTCGTGCCTGGTTTGGGAGGTTTACTAAGGTTATGATAACCTTAGGATACAAACAGAGTCAAGGAGATCACACTCTTTTCTTTAAGCACTCCCAAGATGGGAAGCTCACTGTGCTCCTTGTATATGTTGATGATATTATTATAACAGATGATGATTTTGTGGAGAGACATATTCTGCAAACACGACTAGCCTCTGAGTTTGAAGTTAAAGACCTTGGGAAACTGAGATATTTCCTAGGGATAGAGGTAGCTCATTTAAACAAAGGAATTTTTATCAATCAGAGGAAATATGTTATTGATCTTCTCAAAGAAGCAGGAAAGCTTGGGTGTAAACCCTCGAATACTCCTATTGAGCAGAATCACAAGATAGGTTATGAAGAGGAGAGTCCTCCAATTGAGAAAGGACAATATCAACGGCTAGTTGGGAAACTGATATATCTGCCTCATACTAGACCAGACCTAGCTTATGCTGTTAGTGTTGTCAGCCAGTTTATGCACGATCCAAAGGAGAAACACATGCAGGCAGTGGAGAAAATTCTTCAGTATCTTAAAACCACTCCTGGTAAAGGACTATTATTCCGGCGTGATGGCGATCTCTCTTTAGAAGTTTACACTGATGCTGATTATGCTGGATCTGTGACTGACCGTCATTCTACCACTGATTATTGTATGTTTCTTTGTGGTAACTTGGTGACGTGGAGAAGTAAGAAACAAGATGTAGTTGCTAGATCAAGTGCAGAGACTGAATTTCGAGCTATGGCTCAAGGCATTTGTAAGTTATTGTGGCTGAAAATTGTACTTGATGATCTCAAAATAAAATGTGAGGGACCTATGACGCTGCTATGCGATAACAAGTCCGCTATTTGTATAGCTCATAATCCATTTCAACATGATCGGACTAAACATATTGAGGTCGACCGCCACTTCATCAAAGAGAATACAACAAACCTTTTCCCAGTACTCCTTTGATATATCGAAGGATCCTCACAGTAGCATCCCAATGAGAATCACACGGGGAGCCAAGGAACTAACAAGTCGTACCAACCGCAAAAGAAATGTCTGGCCTAGTCACAATAAGATAATTGAGCTTCCTAATCAACCTCCGATAACAACCAGGATCAGATAACGGCTCCCCCTGTCCGGGCAATAATTTGATAGCGGGATCCATAGGTTTTACAACTGGTTTACATCCCAACATACCAGTCTCTTCTAGGATATCTAAGGCATACTTCCTTTGACAGATAGAAATGCCTTGTCTAGACTGTGCCACCTCAATCCCTAAGAAGTAGCGTAGCCTCCCAAGGTCCTTTGTTTGGAATTGACTGAATAAATATTGTTTTAACTGACGAATTTCAGCTTGATCACTTCGAGTGAGAATGATGTCATCAACATAGACTAACAAATAGATGCACTTATCAGGAGATGTGATCCTATAAAATACAGAGTGGTCAACTTTGCTGCGTATTAAGCCAAAAGACTGAACAGCAGAACTGAAGCGACTGAACCATGCCTGAGGAGACTGCTTGAGACCATATAAGGATTTACGAAGTCGGCATACCTTCCCAGACTCCCCCTGAGCAACAAAGTCAGGTGGTTGCTCCATGTAAACTTCTTGTAAATCACCATGAAGAAAAGCGTTTTTGATGTCAAGTTGAAGGAGTGGTCAGTGACGAACAGCAGCAAGAGCAAGAAACATGCAAACAAACGCCATCTTAGCGACCGGAAAAAATGTGTCACTATAGTCAAGGCCGAAGATTTGAGTAAAACCCTTTGCAACTAAGTGCGTCGTGAGACGATCAACATGGCCATCAGATCCAACTTTGA